AGGAATAATAATATTGATGCTGAACCATATGACAGAGAATATATAGAGTACAATGATGCAAAAACGTACGTATGTTGTGTGTCTAACAAATCACATACTCCTACCTACTTAATTTCTACTAAATAGTAGTAGTATTAATTTAATCAAATCCTTACATTCACTAACAAGTAAAGCATATATACATGTTATGTTCCACAGGGTTTTAAAAGGAGAGGCCTGTGATATTCTGGGTGGAGAATTCTGTGGGCGTCAGTATCAGAGGGGAGTCTACTAGGACGAGGACTATGATCAATTCTCCTTTATATATAGACCTACTTAAATTGCTTTTGTAATTCAGCTCGATTCCCTGATGGATGAATATACACCATATATATATGTTTAACAGAAAGCCCTTATCTGTCTCAAAAGCTTCTCAATAATTACTTTTCCACAAACTTAATTATACAAAATCACTGTTCGATTAATTAATTAAAATATAACAAGGGAATTTAACCCTGTACTTCCTTTTCCCTACAGAATTAATAAAAAAGATCAATTCTAAATGTTTAATACACAATCAATTATCAATGACTGTAGGACTAAATTACCCATATAATTTAGTTGCTCTAATCAAATAACATAAAAAAAAAGTATTTTTTTAGCTAGAGACTAAATATTTAATGATAATTTTTTTAATAAAAATAAGAAATTTTAAATTTGAGTAACATAACATATAAATATAATGAGTTGAGGGATAAAAATATTGTCTACCACTATACAATTTAATATATAAAAAATGTAGTTATTATGGATATGTAACAAACATATTAATATTAATTAATTAGGAGTACCATCCATAAAAAAATATATATATATATCAGTAAAAATTTTAGGTCATTGAACACTTCTGATCAGAAAAATACAACTCTGTGTAGGATTGTTGAGCCTCCAATTGGCAGGAATAAGCTCATTAAGAAACATTGGGCTGAACAAAAGTAATAACACCATATGGGCCCTCTAGCCCATTAGTGCATTAATGGGAATACCCATGGCCCATGGATCTACAAGTAGGTCCAGTACAGAATAACATTGGGCTGCCGCTCTTTTTGTACTTGAAACAAACAATGTCCCTTTGGCGCTCCACCCTCCCATGAAACCCTACAGAATAACTAATGCAGTACTCAAAAGCGTTGCTTCAGCTTCGTTCGCAGCCTCTAAACCTCCAATTCCCCATCAAAATGTTGAATCCCTTATTGATGCTCGCATTATCAAGACGGGTTTTGATCCGTTCACTTGCCGCTCCAATTTCCAGGTCGACAATTTTGTCAAAAATGGCAATCTCTTCCAGGCTCGTCAACTGTTTGACGAAATGCCTAACAGAAACACTGTATCCTCAAACATGATGATTTCTGGTTACGTGAAAGCAGGAGATCTTTCCAGTGCTAGGGAGATTTTTAATGCCATGGTTCATCGAACTGCAATTACTTGGACCATTTTAATTGGCGCCTACTCGCACCAGAATCAGTTCTGTGAAGCCTTTAAGCTTTTTGTGGATATGCATAGGTCTGGCACTGACCCTGATTATGTGACTTTTGCTACTCTTTTATCGGGCTGCAATGAACCTCAGGTTCACAAAGAATTGATTCAAGTACATGCGTGCATTGTTAAATTGGGGTATGATTTCAGGCTCATGGTTTGTAATTCCTTGCTAGACTCTTATTGCAAAACTTGTCGCCTTGATTTAGCTCGTCAGGTTTTTAAGGAAATGCCTGAAAGAGATTCTGTTACTTTTAATGCATTGATTACAGGGTACTCAAAAGATGGTTTAAATGAAGAAGCAATTAGACTCTTTACGGAGATGCAAAATTTGGGTTTCAAGCCTTCTGATTTTACTTTTGCTGGGGTTTTAGGTGCTGCTGTTGGGCAAGACGACTTAGCCTTGGGACAACAAATTCATGGTTTTGGAGTGAAAGCTGGTTATGTCTGGAATGTGTTTGTGGGGAATGCATTGCTTGATTTCTATTCAAAGCATGACTCATTGGTTGAAGCTAGGAAACTTTTTGATGAAATGCCAGAGTTGGATGGAATTTCTTACAATGTGATGATCACAGGCTATTCCTGGGTTGAGCAATACGAAGAATCTATTAAGCTTTTCCGGGAATTACAGTTCACAAAATTCGATCGGAGACAGTTCCCATTCGCAACCATGTTGAGCATTGCAGCAAATTTGTTAGACTTGCAAATGGGCCAGCAAATTCATTCACTGGCCATTGTTGCTAAATCTGTTCAAGAACTTGTGGTTGGAAATTCCTTGGTTGACATGTATGCCAAATGTGGTAGATTTGAAGCAGCTGACAAGATATTCAGAACTTTGGCACAGAGAAGCACGGTTCCATGGACTGCCCTTATCTCTGCTTATGTTCAGAAAGGTTTCTATGAGGAAGGCCTAAATTTGTTCAATGAGATGCACAGAGCTGGTGTAAGACCAGACCCAGCCACTTTTGCCAGCATGTTAAAGGCATCTTCAAATTTGGCTTCATTGTCACTGGGGAAACAACTTCACTCTTTTGTAATCAGATCAGGTTCCATGTCAAGTGTTTTTTCTGGGAGCGCACTTGTGGATTTATATGCAAAATGTGGTTCCATAAAAGATGCAATTCGAATTTTTCAGGAGATGCCTGAAAGGAACATAATCTCTTGGAATGCATTGATCTCTGCCTATGCTCACAATGGAGATGGGGAGGCCACTCTTAAGTCATTTGAACAGATGCTTAAGCTGGATTTCCAGCCAAATTCAGTCAGTTTCCTCAGTGTTTTATCTGCTTGCAGCCATTGTGGGCTCATTGAAAAAGGATTACAGTATTTCAAATCAATGACTCATGTTCATAAACTCGTTCCTAAAAGAGAACACTATTCATGTATGGTTGATTTGCTATGCAGAGGCGGACGATTTGATGAAGCAGAGAAGTTGATGGCTGAAATGCCTTTTGATCCTGATGAGATTATGTGGTCATCAGTCCTAAATTCATGTAGGATTCATAAGAATCAAGATTTAGCAAAGAAAGCAGCAGAACATCTTTTCAACATGGAGGCGCTTAGAGATGCCTCTGCTTATGTCAGCATGTCCAATATCTATGCAGCAGCAGGCCAGTGGGAAAGTGTTGGGAAGGTGAAGAAGGCAATGAAGGAGCGTGGAATAAGAAAGGTCCCAGCTTTTAGCTGGGTTGAAATCAAACACAAAGTTCATGTTTTCCAAGCCAATGACAAGAAGCATCCACAAATGAAGAAAATCATGGAAAAAATTGATATGTTGTCCAAGAAGATGGAAAAGGAAGGTTACAAACCTGATACAGGTTGCGTCCTTCATGATGTGGATGAGAAAATGAAAATAGAGTCTCTGAAGTACCACAGTGAGCGGCTAGCAATTGCATTTGCATTGATAAGTACACCAAAAGGATCGCCCATACTAGTGATGAAGAACTTGAGAGCTTGTACAGACTGTCATGCTGCAATCAAGGTCATCTCAAAGATTGTTAAAAGGGAAATTACAGTTAGAGATTCAAGCAGGTTCCATCATTTCAAAGATGGGTTTTGCTCTTGTGGGGATTATTGGTGAGTGAGATTGAATTTTACATAGGAAACCTTAATTTGATTATTTTCATGTGTACCATTCCTACTGACTGATTAATGAGCAAGTCAAATTATAGTATATAGTCAATCTGAAAATTTTCATCTCCAAATGGGCTAATGCAAAACTACTACCAGAATCAGAATTTACTTCTCTAATCTTTGCAGCTTTCATTCAGTTCGGTCTTGTGAGGATTGGGCTTTTAATCCCGACCCAAACACTAATCAAAAAACAAACTCTCAAAATTCGTGGGCCGGAGCTCAGTTTGATTGATTGATGGCTAACTGAACCCGAACCCATCTCATGAACAATAATTGGGATAATCAATGTATAACCTTGCAACATCTCATGAACAATGATACATTTACAACAATTAAAGGAGGGCCGATATGCCCTACATATTTTCACGCTGCAGCTTCTGATGTATCACTTTCAAAGAATGCTGTGTGTAGAGCCCTAACACACTGCTCTGCTTCATTGTCGTTCACAATCAATGATATGTTAACCTAGTTGGTAAAAACGATGAGTTGTGGTTTGTTACATGTGTACAAGAACCAACCAAATGACTTTACGTGAACCCCCAGTGAGCACATAACTAGGACTTCCCATCATGTTGCATGTAATTAAGCTGCTTTCTGCCTTATTAAGCAGTGGACAGATGGCCACATGACACATTTTTGAAGATGTAAACTTACAATGCCTACAAGGTACAAGCCTAAGTTTGCGCTCTAATGCGAAATGCACAATGCACTTTAGATATCAAGCTATGCAACGAAACATTGAGATATAAGGTCAAGCTGTACAGACCTTAGATGCACCCTGAGAGATCATCTGAACACTAACTCCATTTGTCCGAAGAACGCAGAACGCCTGCCGTGATCACATTCAACTATTAATTAAAGAATATCAAAACTGAAACAAGTTAGATTCGCTTAAAAAAATTTGAAAGTTGGAAGCTATAGGGAAGCCGAAGTCACTTAGTGTGAAGGTAAGTATAAACAGTAACAAGAAAAATTTTGCACACAGCCAGTAACCCCAAAAAGCATCAAGGAAGTCAGTTTCTAAACATCATACATCACCTTCTCTAGTATTAGAGAGGACCTCTGGACATTTCCAGTTAGAGGAATAATGCATCGGTGCTGAAAGCAGATTGACAACTGCAATTTTCTTGAGTTCCTCGACAAGATGGTTGAGTTCCTGCAAGAAACAACATAAATAGCTGAAGAGACTCAGACTCAGAAGAATTCATCTGCAAGCCAACTATTTTAGTAACACATGATGTACATCAAAGTTTGGTACCACAACTTGCCTGTTGAATTAGCTCTCCGCTCCAAATTTTTGATGGATCCAATGTCAAGGAAATACTAACTTCACTGGTAGCTACAACATCCAGTGAGATGCCCAGATCTTCAAAGATTGAAAATACCTGCATGGAAGAAAACACACACATCAATTCAGTCACTGACCAAAAAGACAAGTGCAGAACTTGAATACACCCTTTCTTACCTTTGCCAGGAAGCCATATTGACCAAGCATGCGAGTGCTGACGATATCCAACATTGTAACATTCCTTTTCAAAACAATGCTAGTAAGCACTGACTGCCACAAGGAAAAGAGCCATTAATGTAGAGTTGATTCCTTTGCATCGCATTAAGCAAACAATCAGCTATTACAAACCTAACTCATATCTCTATCTCTTTTGATAAGAGTTCCCGGTGCAGTAGGGTTGTAAGAATTCTTAATCTTCACGGGAATATCACCTTCCATATCTGGTCTCATGGATAGTGGATGCAGGACCTGTAGAAGAGCAATATCAAATTCAATGTCAGTTATTTGCCAGGTTTAAACAATTACGTAACAGTAGGCCAAATGCACCCTAGTCAAGTTTGGGCCAAAACAGAGAAGGTTTCTTTGAGGAAGACAAATAGGAGGTAGGAAGAGGAATGTGGGAGGGAGATGCCCAGAACCCAAAAAATACAAGCCAAAAGGAATACTAGGTGGTTTTGTAAATGAATGAAAAACCAATAAAAAAAAAAAAATACTATTGATAATTTGATACCTTAGCACCACAGTAAGAAAGTTCAGCTGCTTCTTTAAACGTCAAATAGGGGACAGGTTCTGCACGAAGGTTTATATTAGGATCACAGGTCAAGACACCGTCAACATCCTTCCATACCTATAAGAAAACCATAACTTTGGTGAAAAAAGTTAGTCATCCTACAATCAAATTTGTCCAGAGAATCTCAACTCAATAGGACATCGTTGTTCCACAAACTTCAAAAAAGATTAACTTGTAAATATTTATATGCCTATCGTGCATCTGAATAAAGAGATACACATTTAATCATGAAAAAAGGATATTAGAGAAGAAATAAAAATTCCTATATATGCATGCTGAACTGCATCCAATGTTCACAATTAATACAAAAAAACTCATCACCTGAATCTCTCGCAAGCCCAATGCTTTCCCAATAGTTGTCACTGTCAAATCACTACCACCCCTACCTAATGTAGTAATTGCAGAAGATCTCCAGTCCTACAATCAGAAGTTCACTGTCTATAAGACATTGCTGCATGGCCCTTACAAAATCTTGTTCAAATTTAAATCATTGCAAAAAGCTAACTGCAGCTGTTCGGTAGAAAGACCTTTCCCAGTAAAGTGAGGAAACCAGTGACAACCAGAATTGCAGGATCACTGAGCCAATCATCATTTAACCTTTTTGCCATAGCTGGATAGGTTGCTTCCAGAATATCAGCATTTGTGTAGTCGTAAAACCAATATCGAAGGCATCATACTGCAAAAGAATGAACAAACTTATAATCTGAAACCACTAAGATGGTAGTCACAAGGTAACACAAAGAAGGCGATACCATAATTGAATCTTCTGTAAGAAATCTAAGAATTCAAATGACTTACATTTGGATCAAAGAAACTGTTTTAGGAACAGGGTGGAGCACAGCTATCCGTGTTAAAACATTTTCTTGAAAAACTAAATTCCTAATGTTCACCAGCATAGCAAGAAAAGGCATGTATATCTAGTTATAGGATATAGAGGACAAGCAACATACTTGGCGGGCTTTAACTCCAATTTTATTCAAATATGCAGCAAAAATTCTTGTTGACATGCACTCCCCGAAAGAAACTAAGTAGTCTTGCATTCGTAGGGTTAACTCTTTCATCATAGCAATTCCCTTTAGAAGCTGTTCCAATCTTTCCAGCTGTCCTGAAAAACGTTTTGCAAGCAACACCATATATCTATCAGCGAAGCTAGAATGTTATGAACCATTAGAATATTGATGGGAGGAGAAAACGATATAAGGGTTTTCAAACTGGGATTCTTTTGAAAATTGAGGATATCTCAAAGTTTGCAGACACTCTGAAATTCCAGCACTCAATGTCAATGGGCTTAACTGATAAAATGTTTCAGGGACTTGACTAATTTAGCACACTGCAATATCCTAAAAGACATAAAGCACTTGAACTCACAAGCTAAGCAATCCCATTTAGATCCTTCTGACCAATTGAGGTTCAGAAAGAACTTCTCCCAGATCCAACATGGATGAAAGAACAACAGTAGGACTTGTATTTAGCCCCTAGCTGGAAAGGGTTGCTTGATGTCCAAGAGAACAATTTTAATTCTTAAGACCTGTTCAGCTTATTTGAGCAAGCAAAAAGCTTTCCAATGTAGCAACATGAAATAAAAACGAATGAGTCAAAGAGCAAACAAAACTCACCTTCAATTATTGACCTCTCAACCAAGCTCGTCTACAGTCCTGAACATTAATTAATTTGATGATGAGAGAGAGAGAGAGAAAAGAGAACAAATTCATACCACTAGTTGTTACAGCCTTGTGTACAATTGAACATACCAAAGATGCAGGTCCTTTATGAAACTAAACTCATTCATGGTTTCCACATTAGTGATTCCACGGCTAACAGCCTTCTCTCCTGCCTGGATAGTCAACACATAATGAAATTCTTTGACAAAGAGAGTGAGAGAGAGAGAAGTGAGAAAGATTACATTTACATTTACAGGGTAAATTAGAAGAAAGGCATTACCAACAAAAAATTATTTGTTGTGTTTCCCACAGCAGAGAGAACAATCACTGGCCTGTCATTGGGGAAGCTGAGGATAACTGCTGCAACATCTCTGATCCTCTCAGCAGAGGTCACGGATGAGCGTCCAAACTTCATAACACACGTTAATTGGTTGTTGGCTTCACCTAAACTTGGATTTTTAGTCTCATTACTTTGTTGAATCGTATCAAGAGTAGTTCCCTGGCAAATGATTATAAGAACCATCCATCTTCAAACTAAGAAAGCAAACCTTCAATGGCCACAGTGTAGTTATAGAAGTCTCTGCCATTGAGAGGAATTCAGATAGACCTAAAAGTATAGTCAGAATCATACCTTGCTCTTTGGAAATCTTAAGAACAATAGAAACCTTAGGCCACGCATTTCTCAACAACAATGCCCACTGCTCAATCACTCCGTACCCTGCATTCACCACTCCCTCCACCACAAGCCCTCTCTTGCACGCGAAAACCAAAAGACAACAAAGCATTGCCCCATTAAAGACTCCCCGCTTCAGCAAAATCTTCAGAGACTCCAAATCCAGGCCGAAAACGTCACCGTGGTCACCATCCAGATCATTGTTTTCTTCACTTAACGATCTCATATAAGCTCCACTGCCAACAATGCCAGGTCTCCGCAATCACAAACTGTAAATTCCACAAAAATGGACGGATTGAAACAACTGGAGACTACACGACCTGGGAAGTGATTACTTTTGGACG